CGGGGTCCTGGGATCGAGCCCCGCATCGGGCTCCCTGCTCGGCGGGAGGCCTGCTTCTCCCTCTCCCGCTCCCCCTGCTTGTGTTCCCTCTCTCGGTGTGTCTCTCTCTGTCAAATAAATTTAAAAAAAATTACAAAATCATCCAGGTAGTACAACTAATAGCTCTGAAAATAAAAAAAGAAAAATACAACTGTTTGAGGGTCGATGAAAGTGACTTCTCTTTTCAACAATCACCGGCTCTGCCCAGCCCGGGCGCTCCAGGGTGAGGGAACAATGGCGGAAGTAAGATGGCTCCACCGGGACCGCCCGCCTGACGACCCCGCCCGCCAGGCCCTGAACGAGGCGGCTACTGCGGCGTCGGCCCCCCCCCGTGACGTCAGCACGTCATGCGGGTGACAAACGCCTCTTTCGCACCGCCACAGGAACTAGGCGCACTGCGCAAGTGTGCGGGCTGGGCCTCGCGTCTGATCCCAAAAGCATCGCGAGGGTTGGGGCGGTGCGCTTCCTGAGGGCGTCCCAGGGGCCGGGTGGTGGGGTCCGGGTGCCGGGCTAGGGGCGGAGCTGGGAGATGGCGTCCGGAGCGGCTCGCCGGCTGGCTTTGGCATCCGTCCGATCCGGGGCTTTCCGGAACGGACCGAGCTTGAGGAAGGGTGGCGATGTCTCCGCCGGAGGGGGTGGCTCAGGTCGGAGCCTGGTACCGTCGAGGTCAGTCATCGTTACTCGCAGCGGCGCCATTTTGCCCAAACCGGTGAAAGTGAGTGTCTGCCTGGAGGCGGGGCGAAGGGGCCGCGGCCAATCATTATGGGGAGTGTGTGCGGGTCGACGCTGACTGATAGGAGCAAAGGCCAATCATACGACCGCCTTAGACCGGAAGACGGATCAAGGACAAAGTTAAGCAGTGATGCGCTGCTTATTTTGACAGGTGGGAGGAAATGGGTCAGATCCCGGTATTGAGTTGGGCGCACGGAGACAGAGGATGGGGGGTGAGAGCTGAGAAGGACTGCACTTTGCACTAGTTCATCGTGGGGAGCGTGGTGCCCTAGTTCTCCAGGCCACAAGACGGCTTTATGCGTCCAGTGTAGACAGATCACGTAACCACTCCGTTCTTGTCTACCTCACAGTTGATGGGATGGAATAATGAGTTGTGAAAGGGCTTTGTAAATAAAGGGTACGTGGGGCAGACCTTATATTTTTATGAGTTTTGACCTAGTACTTAATTCACGTGATTTGCAGTCCTGAGAGGTGGGCAGGGAATTACTACAATCACTGTTTCTACAAATGAGGAGCCGGGCCAAAGCAGTGAAGCCGTGAGGCTCCAAAGCTAGCAGCGAGTTAGGGTCTGGAATCCAGGTTTCTGGCTGGTACACCCCCCACCCCCAACCAGGTCCTATTTTTTTCCACCACTGAATGCCATCACATGCCCTGAGTACTCTTGGGTTTTTCTAAGTAAAATGGAAACAGCCCCTTACACCAAACAAGTTTGCTCTTTGACTCCAGGGTTGTGTGGGAGTTACAAAACAAAAGTTCTCTTAAAGCTAGTATGGCCAGTGCTGGCTCGCACAGACAAGTGAGTTCAGGATTGTTGTGTGGCAAGCAGCAAGGTCCATACTGGGGAAGAGCTGCCTTATAAAAAGGCATAGCTGGAAAAAAATTTTTTGAAACTCCGTAGGAAAATATGAGGGTATGTTGAAATTCTACTGAAACTGCCCCAGTCCATCTGCCATCTTTTATGGTAAAGACATGCGCTTTTTTTTTTAAGATTTATTTATTTATTTGAGAGAGCGAGAATGAGAGAGAGAGAGAGCACATGGGGGGGGAGGGTCAGAGGGAGAAGCAGACTCCCCGCCGAGCAGGGAGCCCGATGCGGGACTCGATCCCG